GGACTCAGGGCTAGTCAAGGGCAGACCTGCCTTTTGAGCTGGGGAAGGACAGGACCCCCCAGGACTTGCAGGGCCTCAGAACCTTGCTGCTAAGACATATCCAGAGGACGCTGTGGGGAAAGGAGGGCCTGGGAGCCAGAAGCCTGGCCTAACCCTGCCTCTTGGGCAAGATGCTTCCCCCTTGGTGTCCCAGTTCCTTCATTTGCTTCAAGTGAGGACTGGGCGTCTGGGGCCTGAAACCCTTAGTAGGAGCTTCCTGTTCAGTCCTGCCAGGCCACAGTCACGTGTCACATGCCTGCCACACGCTGCTTCCCTTTCCTTTCCCCTCCCCCTCCCGTGGCCATCCCCACTCAACAGTTCAGAGGACCAGGTCCTCCTGGGCTTTATCTCCCACAGATAAAGAGGGCTCTCTTCTCTGCCACCCCAGAGTTCTCATGCCCTTGCCACAGGCTGCTGAAGGCCTGCGTGGTTTCACTACTCATATTTTTGACATATCTGCCTCCAGGGCTAACCAAGCTCTTGGCTGCCTCAGGAGTTTGATTCCACCCTCACTGTCGGTTCAGCCGAGTGAATGAAGGGGACGGGCACCTCCAAGTGCTTCCTACTCAAAGCGTGGTCCCCAAACCAGAGCATCCCCTGGGAAAGTGTTAGAGAGGCAGAATATCCACCCACCTCAGACCTGACTCAGAATCCCTGAGTGATTTGGGGGCACGCTCCAATTTGGGAGGATGCCTCCATCTCTGGTACACCTCCACCTCACATCCTTGGCTTTGACCACCTAGGAGCCCCCCAACCAGCAGGCCTTTGCAGGACTCACCAAAGTGCACCCCACCATTAATCAAAGGAGACTGGCCTTCAGAACCTTCCAGAAGCCTGCCACTGATTCTCATAGGCAGCATCTGAAATGTGCAACCTCAGGGTGATTCCTAGTACATATCACCCACTGCCCTCTCAGAGCCAGGGCAGGTTCAAAAACATCTAGGCCTGTCCTCCGTGGCCCTGGCCACGGAGTCCTCCGTGGCTCCCCTCTTCATCCCCGCCCATCAGCCCCCAAAATGAGCAACTGCACAGCTACCAACATCCAACGGCAGAGACAGACTGGCTACCCAGCCGCCCCCTCGTGGGCCTGGAGTCCGTGCACACAAAATGCTCCTCCCTCCCTCTCTCTACTCTCGACAGTCAACTTGGAAAGACAAGGAACCCTTCCAAAACACATTTTCAGGTTTTTAATAAACCCTGCCATCCCTCTAATGGTTTCAGATTATCTTAAATATTTATAAAAATCATTCGCAGCAACACTTCTTTAAACAAATCTCCTCATGGGCTTCGATTATTTATAAATTTATGAACATGATGTCTCCTTCCCTGGGAGCAGATGGCAGCTTTGGAAAGGAGGGAAAAATCAATAGGACAGAACGTAAACTCAGTGACTCCCCAATTCACTCCACACCGCAAGCTCTGGGACAGAGAGCGTTGCCTTCATCGGCAGCACATGCAACAGGCGGCAGTGGGCCTGGGAAGCGTGCAGGCCTGGGCGTGAGGGAGCACCCTTGGACCTGGGAAGGCCTGGAGGCTCCGACCTGCACCTCAGAAGAAGCTGCCAGCGCAGGGCTTGGTGCCCAAGGGGAAATGGAGCTGTCAGCGGAGTGTCAGGACACTCCAGACACTGGGGTGGCGACAGAAAGGGTCCTGCGGGTGGGGGGGGGAAGCAACTGGACACTGGCTGAGCACCTACTGCATGTCTGTGCCACAAGAACCCTCCTGGGTGGCGATTATGATTCCGCATTCGAAAGGTGAAGGAGGCCCAGAGGACGAGGAAGCATCTCGCCCCGGGTCACTGAGCTGATAAGCAGCAGAACCACCGGGAAAACCAGGGCCGTTGGGCCCTCAAACCTAGGCTCAAGCTCGCTCTGGAAGCAGAAATGGACTCACTCTTCACCTTCTCCATCCTTGGCAGCGAAGTTATTATCTTTCAACTTGGTGAGACCAATCACCCTTTCGAAGTCCATTAAAGACTGACCTCCCAAAGCACCCCCAAGCCACGGGCACGCTGTTCACTCGAGAATCTGGGGAAGCGGAGTCTCAGCTGCAAGAAGAGGAGTGGATGGAAGGTTCTGAGAAGACAGGAAATGAGTGTCACGGGCACAAAAGAGCTGACTTCGTGAGAGAGAAGGAAGGTGGGCGGAAAGTGGGATCGCGAGGACGCTTCCTTGGACAGGTGTCTTCTGCCCCGAAAAGGGAAGGAGAATGACAAGAAATCAGCCCGCCCTGCCCTCCCCCTATATTTACTTCCCTCAAGAAGCTTCGATTGTCAAAAGAGAGAAGGTGCTGACCTTTGAGGAGCTGTCCTTGGAAAAGGACACGGGAAGAGGGCCATGACTGATGATGGCCGCCGTTTGTGGGGTCTGTGCTAAGGGCGTCACTCACTCTGTCGCACCGAGCAAGACAACGCCACAATATATTCATCCCATTTGACAGAGGGCAGCACTGAGGCTCCACGGGGGAAGAAACTTGGTTTCCTCTCTGCCCTGAGCATGGGCAGAGAGAGGGGAAATGAGGCATGAACTTGGGAACCCCGAGAGAGGTAGGAAAGGGTGGGGGTTGGGGGTGATTTTGTCTGATTATAACTAAGGGAAAGAGGATTCCGAGTGGGTGGTCCCTTCTAAGGCCTCACGGTCAGTGTGCGGCCAACGTCCAACGGCTTTATATCTGGTTTTGCCACTGACAAGACACTGTCTCTACAGTGCTCGCTGGGAGATGGCTTCACTCAAGACTGGCGGAGTCCGAGACGGCCGGAGCCACAAGACAGTGCTCGCCTCAGTCAAAGAGACGGCGGCCATGCTGACGTGAGGCCACAGCCTCCTGGCACACACGTCCTCAGGAGCCCTCCTGTTGTTGACCGGCAGCCTGAGGGGAGAGCTGGCCCAGAATGGAATTCCACCGTGGGGAATCCTTGGATGGAATCACCCATTTCAAGGTCGCCTGCAGGACAGGGTGCTGACCTTGAGGTGCAGACAGGATGCACATGCAGACACAGCAATGGGGGAACCACTCACTCTTTTGTTCCTTCTGTCAAAAAGCCTGGACCACGTATCCAGAGCTTTGCAGATGGAAAGTTGGGGTAAGGAGGCTGCATCTGACCCTTCCTGGCAGAGGGGCTGAGACACCCAGCGTGTCCGCTGAGCCTCATAAAAAGAGAATCCAATCTCTACTGCACAGGCGATCGTGGCCGCTCCGCAACTTAAAAATCCTCTCCAGGGGCTCCGGCTGCAGCTGGCTGTGCAGAGAGGTGCGTGCTACCGCCTCTGAAAACAACAGGAGCTCAGGCTGCCCTGTCTTCCAAATGGGAAAAAGCCCCATAGCTAAGCATCTTAAGAGAGACACCCAGGGGCCTCTGGGAGCTGAGGAAGAAGGGATGTCTGTCAGGCCAAGCAAGATTACTTGAAAATCTCCCAAGTGCAGCTGGGAGTACGGCCTTCACATCAAGGCATTTCCAAGCACCCCAGGGGCCGGCGCCCACCCCGGCCTCCTCCAGCACACTCTCTGCCCCTGCCTGTGCTGAAAGTCGACCAAGATCTAGAAAATGCAAATTACAATGTGCCTCCCCAGGAAAAAATCCTCAGGCCAGCTGACCACAGCAGGCCCTGCCAAGGAAGAAACCCACCTCACCCAGCTCCCTCCACGGCCACAGGAACCCCCAGGCCTGGGAAGTGGGCCCAGCTGTGGGTCTGGCAGCCGCCTCCACCAGGCATCTGGCAGTGGCAATCAAAACGATGCTTCCTTTTTATTTCCACCCAGAGCAATCTTCCAAGAATGGGAGAGGCTCAAAGTCAGAGTTTAAGCTCCTTTTTACCAGAAGTCAATATTTTCACCAGATCATCCCCCTCAGGGAGGGGGTGGCTCACTAGAATCCAGGTGGCAAAAGGAGGCTCTCTGGGGATGGTGGGACGGGTGTGCCAGGAGGACGAAGCCAAAATGTGGAACCACACCCGCTCACTTCTCAAAATCCACCTTCCACGCCACACACATCTGTGCACGGCCCTCGCGGGCCCCTGGCAGCCCGGCTAGGCCGGGCTCGTGCAGAAATTCAAGGTGCCTGTCAATGACACTTTCCACTACTGCGCCCCCTCCAGGGCAGGAAACCCGCCTTCCCCTTCTGCAGGCCCAACACATGGCGGCCCATTTCACAGACCGGCACCAGGAGTCACGCGGGGCAGAACACCTGCCCGGGACCCCACGGAATTGGCAGGCGACAGGGCCGGGAATTACAGGTAGGCGCAAAATCCACTCCAACCCCTCCCCCAGCGGCCTCTCAGGCAGCAGGGTGGGGAGCAGAGCGGCACCCCCGCCCCCCCCCACCACCTTCCAGCAAGGGAAGTTCGGGGTTCCGCTTTCCTCCCAGGCCCGGGCCGGGACCCGCGGGCGTGAGCCCCCGCGAGCGCGCACAGCCCGGGCAGGCGCTGCAGGTCGGGCACCACCCGCGGCCACCGAACTCCCATTTTTGAAGGAGACGCTGCGCGCACACGGGGTGCGGGGAGGTGCGCCTCCAGCTCGGGTGGCGGCCGCCCCGAGGGAGTCTCCGGGCCCGGCAGCTTTGGTTCGGCCCCTCCAGGTCCTCAGGGCTCCGCGCCCCCGTGGAAGTTGGCCGAGGGGCTGCCCTGCGCCCGGGTCACCCCCGCGCCCTCACCTGGCGCCCCAGCGGCCGGCGGGCGCAGCCCCCCTCGCGCCCCCTCGCCCGGGCGCCGCCGGCCGCGCGCTCCCCGCGGCCGGGTGGATCCGGGCGGCGCCCCCCGCGACCCCCCGCGACCCCCGTCCCCCGCCCGCCCGCGGCTGAGGCTCCGGCGCCCCCGCGCCGCCCCGCCCGCCCGCCCGCGCGGCACCCCCTCCTCGGCGGCGGCGCCCGGCCCCGCGCGCCCCGCGCCCCGCCCGCGCCCGCGCCCCCGCCGTGCCCCCGGCGCCCAGGAGCCACCCGGGCGGCGCCCAGGAGCCCGGCCACGTACCTGGCGGCGGCGAGCGCGAGGGGGGCGCGGGGTGCGGGGCGCCGAGCCTCGAGCGGGTCCGCAGTTTCCGGGGCGGCGGGCGTCACGTCACCGCCGCAGGTTCGCGGGCGGCCCCGGCGCGCGGCAGCGGGAGGCCCCGGCGGCGCCGCGAGAATCGCTATAAAAGGAAGCGGCGCCCGGAGGAAGAGGAAGCGCCGTTCACCTTCGCGAGCGGCCGCGGCCTCGCACAAAAGGAGGACGCGCGCGACGCCGCCCCCCGCGCCCCGTCCCCCCGCATCGCGGCCCGGCGTCAGCGCGCGCGGCGCCCCGGGACCGCCCCCGCCGGCCCCCACCCCCAAACCGCGCGGGGGGCCGGGCGGGGGGGGTGTCGGGGCGCCCGCCGGCCCGCGCGCGCCCCGGCCGGGGTGACCTTGGGCGCGTCGCCGCGGCGGGCGGGCGGCCGCGTGGGGGGCGCGGGGGGCTCCGCGCGCTCCCCGGGTCGCGGCGGAGAGCGGCGGGGCCAGGGCCGGGGAGGCCGCGCTGCAGGCGGGGCTCCAGCTCCCTCCGGGCCCGGCTCTCCCGACCCTCGGGCCAGGGGCGGCCGCCGGCGCTGCCCCCTCACCTGCGCGCGGGGTGATGCCGGGCCCTGCCGGGCCCACCTCGCGGCGGGGCAGGGCGAGGATGTGCATGCCCCGCGGGCGCTGAGGCCTCAGCGGAGACCTACGGAGGGCCTGCTGGGTGCCGGGGCTGGGCTGGGGGGGCAGGCGGTGCCGCCGGGAACCCAGACAAAATACCTGCCTGGGGCGGGGCGGACACCGTCTCTGCTGCGTCTGGTGCCCATCAGTGCTCCGAGGGGAAAGAAAGCAGAGCCAGGAGACAGGGGCGCTCGGGGCGCTGAGAGGCTCTTCCAGGACTCTGGTACAGAAATTTCCAGACAACAAGCTCCTCACTTTGTAATTCCAGCTTCTGTTTTGTGGGAGACACCGCCCGACACACCCCACCCCCCAGCCCTTGAAGATCCTCAATGGCAAAGAATGCATTTGTCTCCATTCACTTGCCAGGACGCTGAGATGCCCTGTTCTTCCCTCTGCCCTGCTCCTCCGGTCCTCAGGCCCTCCCTGTCACTGAGATGCAGCCAAATTGTTCCGGAATGCAGACACGTTCTTTAAAGGATCTCCACTGACCTCTAGCCAGGCAGCAAGAGTCCTGTCAGACTCCTTCAGTGTCTTCCACCCTCCCTGCCGGCTCTCCCCATGGGGGGATGGAGATGTCCCCAAATATGCTGACCTCCCTGTTGATTTCTCAGGCGAAGGCAGCGGCACCCTTTCTCTTGCCCAGGCCCTGTGCTAGGAGCTGGGGGCCCTGAGAACACAGAACCCCATGGGGCTCTGGCCTTGAGGGGGAGATGGGGGACCATGTGGGTCAGTAACCAAAGGCATGTAGCACAGATGACAATGTGCAGAGGAAACAGGAGAGGAAGGTGTGCACTCAGCGCGGAAGGGAGGGAGCCCAGGAGAGGCAGCAGGAGATCAGAAAACCCTGCATGGAAGTTTTGAGAGGCATTTTGGCAAAGCAAGAAAAAGAAGCCCCTGGCGTCTTGCCGTAGCCTCGGTGCTCTGGGGACCATGCTCTCCGGACAGTGCTCTCTCTAAAGAGGGGAGCCATGCCCACCTTGCAGTGGTGGGGTGCAGAGGGGTGAAACAGCTGGGCATTGAACTACGAACAAGAGGAGAAGCAGAGAAAATATTTGGAGTCAGAGCTGAGTTTAGGTCTTTCTTGGCCACTTTCAGAGTGGGCATTAATAATTCCCAGCCTTGTTATAGAACTAACCAGGTGCCAGTTGTTGCGCCCACCCAGTGTAATTCTCACATGGCCCATAGAGGCAGGTTCATCATGCTGAGTGTTATGCAAGCCGACGCTGAAGACAGGAGAGAAGGAATTTGCCTACGGTCATACTAATTAGACGGTGGTGGAATTGGGCGAGAACCCAGATTGTCTGACTGCGAAGCACCCGCACTTAGCCGCTCTGAGCCTCAGTAGCTCATCTTCGAAGTGAAATTGATAGGAAATTGCTTCGTTAGGTTGGAGAGCAGTAAATGAAATAGCACGCATGGATGGGGAGACAGATCGCTGTCGTTATCGCATCATTGATAAGGGGAAGGAGCTTTCTGGCACGCTTGGGGGCTGCAGTTTGCCATGAATGTAAGACAGAGTGAAATTGGAGGGTCAGGAAGCAAGGACGAGCAGAGGGCTGGATCACTCTCGCTCTGCGCCTCACAGAACTGAGAGGTGCCTGACATGAGGGTTTCAACTCACAGGGATGTGTCCACTCATTGGCTATCATGAGACGGAAAGATGACTCTGGCCTCTGATCTTGGCTCATTCAAACAAGTCCTGACAGATCTGATAAGTTCAAGCAAATGGAAGCCTGGGGATAATGCCTGGGGAAACTTCTAGCAGTTCATTTCCGCCCGGACCTACTCTATCTCATAGGAGTTTCGACCCTGCCGTGGCAGGTAGAAGCCTAGTGTCTCCGTCTGTTCAGGCTGCTATCACCGACACCACAGCACAGGGACTTAAACAGCAAACATTCGCTTTTGATGGCCTGGAGGCGGGAAAGCCCCAGATCAAGGTGCTGGCAGATTAGGTATCTGGAGAGAGCCCGCTTCCTGGATCACAGGCTGCTGTGTCCTCACACGCTGGAGGGGTCCCGGAACTCTCTGGGGTGTCTGTTAGAAGGTCACTGATCTCATTCATGAGGGCCCTGCCCACATGACCTAATGACCTCCAAAGTCCCGACCTGTTGATACCATCCCATTGGGGCTTGGGTTTCACCAAAAGAATTTGGAGGCGACACAAACAATCATAACACCTGGCAACTTGTCTTGTTTCGGGAGTTGGAAGGCCTAGCTGCAGTGTCCAGTTCTGCTACCCTGTGCCAGCCATTCAACCCCTGGCTCCTTTGGTTGCCTTATCTGTAAAATGGGGATCATAATGCTCTCTCCTGCTGTAGAGAGGGCTGTGTGAATAATGGATTTTTAGTGCTTTACCAAACTATAAGACAGCATGCTCAATTAGTTTCAGTCTTAGACTCCTGTCCTCCATGGTACACGCAATTCACACATCTTTCAAGCAAAGTAGCTAGCACTTTTCATCACAGGTGCGAAAGCCCCTCCAAAATATGCACTTTCCTGCTGAGCATTTGCTTTGTTACGAGCGTGAGTGCTGTCAGGTGGAGAAGGTAACAGAAGGTAGAAGTCAGGAGATGCGGGGGCTCCATTTTTCTGTCTTGCTGGTTAGAATTTGGCAGTTAAGCACACTCCACCTCCCACGGAGTTAAATGCGAACGCCGACATTCTGCTTAACTGGTAGTTGGGGTCCCCACACCTTAGGCCATTCAGCACCACAGTGTTAAGTGAGGAGACTCAAAGCCCAAGCTCGAAGCAATGGTTTCCAGGGTGGGGACAACGGGAGAAGGGGGTAACTGCTTAATGGACACAGATTTCCTTTTGGGGTGATAACAGGAACTTGTGCCAGGTGGGGCGGCACAGCGCAGTGATTGTGCTAAATCCCACTGAATTGTTCACTTGAAAATGGCGACGAGAGGTTGTGTGAATGTCACCAGAATAAGAAAAAGAAAAAGAAAGAAAAACTTGAGCGGGGTGAGGGGAGCTGATGAGCAGGAACTTGACTGTATTTTAAATGCCTCGCAATATTCCCAGTAGGGCTCACACATTCACCGGAAGGTCAGAATCATAGCAAGTGGGTGCTGAGATGCCTGGGAGCAGCCAGTTTAGAAAAAATATCCTTTAACAATAGAAAGTAAAAGTGAATGATGCAGTTGGGTATTATTTTTATTATCATCATAACTTTTGGTTTCTGAAAAAAAACCGTGATGGAGTGGGAAAGCTCAGGTTGAGTTTGAGCTTAGTCCTTCCTCCTGGCCAGCACCTGGGAGAAAATGCTCAAGTCTCAGGTCCTGTTCTTTGTTTGTTTGTTTGTTTTTTGTGGGACCCTCGCCGGTGGCCGGGGATCGAACTGGTGCTGCAGAGGCTGTGGGCAGCCTTGCAACCCAGCGTTCAACCGCTGCACCACCAGGGGAGGCCCTCAGGTCCTGTTCTTTGTTACATAAATGTAAATAGTGGCTGTGGCACGTGCACCATAGGATTGGTGGGGAAGGCATGGTGGGATTTCAGCAAAAGGTGCTGAATAAGTGGCTGCTGCCGTTACTCTGTGGCATGCAGTCTGCAAAGCCCAGGTCCATGAGGGAAGATGAGTCAGAGAAGGTCTCAGGATCTACAGAAACCAGCTCTCAATTCTAGTGACTTGGACCTACACAAACTAAGGAACTTCTATAGGAAGCGGATCTCCAGGCCCCCCACATGGAGTTGGGAAGCCCACACGCAGTGCATGGTGGGTAGAAGAGCCCACATGTGGGATGGGACGGGTCAGGGAGCTGGATCGGATGTGGCGGAGCCAGCTCTGCTCCTGATTGCTCCTCAGGGGTTTCTGTGAACCTGAGTGAGGGGAGCAGATGCAGGGTGTAGGTCTTCGAGACATTGTTGTGAAACGGCTACGTATAGAGGGATGGCTGTGTGAGTGGGTCAACTTTTGTGTCCAGAAAACTCAGTCACATGAAGGTGCGATCTCGTGTCAACGACATGTTTACTGAGAAATCAAATGGTCCTGCCTGATACGGGGCAGAAATTTCCCCTCTGGTCAACTGAAATAAAACCACTCTCTCATTTCAATATGAGTCATTTCTCTAAGCAGAAAATGTCCCTGCAGTCCACAAGCATAGGTGTTCGTGCACACACACGTGTACACTTCCGCCCACGTGCATCCACACAGGGAAAGGGGGGTGTTTATACCAGTTATTTTTTTTCTAATGTTTGAAGTACTGCATGTTCATCATTAGAAAAATCAAGAGAAAAAGTTTAAGAAAGCAAAATTCACCCATAACTCCCTTTCCAGACTCAAATATATTTTCTAAGCCTTTTGATGTATTACCTCTCGGTCTTTTAAAAATGCATTTTAATACAATTGCGATCACACAATACACACTAGCTTGACTTC